CCAACCGGCGTTCCGCTTGTTGTTGTGAGCTTCACTCCTCCGCCACAGAGGCCGATCTTGACACCGCTGGTACCAGTTATCGGCAAGTCCACTCAGCTCCACGTCCTCCTGTACCACATCACTCCATCTCTTCTCTAGCCCATGTCGCGCCCGCCCAGTCACCTCGATCCGGCTGAACAAAAGCTGTTTAGACATGCGGTGGCTGGGCATGCGGGCCACGTGACCCAGCCAACGCAGCCTTGCCTGCCGGAGGAGCTCACCGATGGGACTTTATCCAGATCTTTCAAGGATTTGTGAGCTCCTCACACAATGCAGCCTGGTTAAACCCAGAATGGATCATAGGCAGGCCAGCCTAAATGTTTCTAACCAGCGAAGATGTCCAACTAGAGGGGGTCCACGTTTCTCCAGCGTAGAGAAGGGAGGGAATGACTGTGGCCGAGAAGACCTGAAGCTTCGTGCGGAGCGACAGACCAGGTAGCTTCCACACAGCGTTACGCAACCGATGAAAAGATAATGCCGCTCGACTGATTCGGAGTGAGACCTCTGCTGTAAAACCGGAGCCGGTCATGAGCACACTGCCAAGGTATGGGAAACTCTTCACTCTCTCAACTGCTCCATCATCAATTGGGAGTTGTGGGGGTGGAGTGGCTGATGGTACAAAATGCCCAGGCAGGTGCTTAGTTTTGGTGGGGCTGATCGTAAGGCCTCACCTCTTAGTGGCAAACTCCAGGTTCAGCAGCAGCACCTCCAACTCCTCTTATGAGTACGCAGCAATTACCAGATCATCGGCATACATAACATGGTTGACCAATAGGGAGCCATCCCTTTAACGCACCCGGGCATTGATCAGCCTCCCATTGTATCTATACCAGATGGAAATTCCTCCGGTACAGCCATCGAAGGCTTCATGAAATACGTGGTCGAAATAGATGTTAAATAATGTGGGAGCCAGAGGACATCCCTGTTGCACCCCAAAGTGAACCCACCATCATGAAGGTCCTTAATGATCGTGAACAGAGGGTCAGGGACTCTGAAAGCACGAAGAACAACTCAGACCCCAGGCCTCTACTGATGGTATCACAGGCCTTGACCAGGTCAATAAAGCAGAGATGTAGGTCTTGTTGGAATTGCCTACACCTCTGCTGTAACAGACGGACAGAAAATATGGCATCTGTGCAGGACCGCCCTTTCCTGAAACCCACCATCATGAAGGTCCTTAATGATCGTGAACAGAGGGTCAGGGACTCTGAAAGCACGAAGAACAACTCAGACCCCAGGCCTCTACTGATGGTATCACAGGCCTTGACCAGGTCAATAAAGCAGAGATGTAGGTCTTGTTGGAATTGCCTACACCTCTGCTGTAACAGACGGACAGAAAATATGGCATCTGTGCAGGACCGCCCTTTCCTGAAACCGCATTGGGGCTCAGCAAGCCTGTCCTCAGCGTGCTTAGCAACGCGATGTTGAATAATCCTTGCCAGGACCTTTCCCGGCACACTGAGGAATGAGATGCCCCTGTAGTTGTTACAGTCTGTGCGGTCCCCCTTCTTACAAAGGGGGATCACCAGGGCATCCTTCCAATCCTGCGGAACCCGTCCAGTGGTCCAAACTGTTGTTATGATGTCATGTAGGGCAGTCTCTGCACAAACGCCACGCTCCCTCAGCATTTTGCTTGGGTGATCATCTCTGTCCGGTGCCTTTCCTGGTCTCAGACTCTGGATCGCCTTTAGTACTTCCTCAACAGATGGCACCTCACAGGAGGTGACTTCTTCAAATATATGAGGCACCGCAGCCTCAGCAGGGTCATCCCCCAAGACCTCACGGAAATGCTCAGGAAATCTGCAAACCTGGGAATTGGAGATTGGATCACCGTTCTTTCCTCTAATGATGGTAATAGGTGTGGCGCTGAAAGTTACTTTTTTATGGAATTAAAGAACGATTTGTGATCTCGGGCCATTGAGGCAGACTCCATCTCCTCAGCAACCCGCGACCACCACCCATCCCCTTACACACACGCACACACCCTTACACATTCGCACACACCCGCATACTGTATATACACACACCCAGGAATAGGTTCTGATATTATTCGACACTGGAGGGTGTTTGTTGAACCTGGTTAAAACTCTGAACAGACCAGGATTTGCAAGAGTGGTCTGGGGTCACCGTCAGGACAAAAACACAGAAAGTGGAACAATGGAATCCAGTCAGGTGGCTCAGTGGTCTAGCAAGCCACTCGCAATCAGAAGATTTTGCAAAGTTGAAATCCTGGTTGCGTGTTACCGCAGCCCATCGTCCCTCTGGGGGTCGATGAAAATGAGCGCCGCGTTGTGGGGAAGTTGTCCCCCAGCCCATATCATCGAAGCTTGGAATGACAAACGACTGGCTCTGCAGGGCCGTAAATAGATGAGCACCATTGGCGTCATTGCTTACTTGGGCAGAAAATCACTTTGACGTTTCGCAGCGATAAAGCAAATAATCATCGGTGCCGTCACGGCCGCGTCACGGGAGAAATCGAACAAATGCAGCAACATTTATATTATGAGCGCAAATGCAGTCCCCTGCAGCGAACGATGAATCGCACCTACGCTAATCCTGGTCGGGAAGCGGAACAAGATTGGCTGAGTTAGCGAGTGGTTAGTGTGCCAATCGACTCACCGCACCACTACTTCCCACTCCGTGACCACAACCCACGCGCGCAATCACAGTACTATAGCCCATAAAAGTACACGAGGGTATAAATGAGCAGGGCAGTGTTGTGTAAACAGAGACACAGTCCCTCAGCCTGTTGGGACAGGTACTGTCAGCGAGCACCAACAACAATAACAGCCGCCATTCGCCAGTAAGTGGTGGTCATGTCATCACAGTGCTTGTGCCAGGCTAGGTGCACGTTGAGGCCACAGGAACTGTTGAAGGCTCTCTGCTAGCAGGTCACTGATTGAGATGACTGGCAGATGCACCGCCTGTGCCCCCCACTCTGCCAAATTGCTGCGTTTTAGCCGCCCGGGGCTCCCCTCGTTGTTGTGAGCGCCGCTCCTCCACCCTGTTGTTGAAGGGTGACTCCCTCCAACCGCCCGGTAACTTCCTTCACGAACCTCCTCCATAGGAGGCCAATCTTGACACCGCCTGTGGCAGTCATCTGCAAGTCCACTCAGCGCCACGTCTTTCTCTACACGCACACCAACACACGTACACACTCGCACAGTACAATGTCGCTTATCTGACCGTCACATATCCCCCCTGATCAATTAACCGTCCACAGCCACTGAAGTATTTGTGTGCGCGGTGGTGTAGTTTCCACTTTCTACAGATGTTCGAAAATTCGGTCAACTCACATATCTGCCTGTACCTCGGTTCCAAACGAGCCAGATATGTGACATGGTGCTGTACCCCATATAGCCTTCACAGACTTTTGGGGCAAGTGCTGTTAGCGAGAACCTGTTAAAGTTGGGCACGGCACACGAGGGGGTGGGTGGCCAGCACCACGCCCGGCTGCCTTTGCCTCCCAAAGTGGTGATGTTTACACACCGCACCAGGTACTCATTAAGTCTGAGTCAACCTAGGGGAGGCCCAGGACCGGTTCAGAAAATCATTACTGGTGTTGGTCGTGCGGGGGAATCGAACCCGTGTCGCCGGGTTCGTAGCACGGCGCACGCTAGCCGCTACTACACTACCGCCCCCCCCACACACAAGAACGTACACTCGCACCACGCTTATCCATGATCACATTCCAACAATGTCCCCGTACACGTGGCATTGTACAAATAACTTTGCTGTTAAGAGGCCAGACTGGTCGGGCTGGTTGTCTGTCATCGGTTCACAATGGCCATGCCCATATTCTTGAGCCGGTAAATCCTCAGAATCCTCATCATACCCCGGTGTGTATCTGTAGAATCTATTCTTGTATGAATATTCAAAACTCGGCACACTCGTCAATAACACTGTTGCCCCGAAAAGGAACGGTATAGGCAACGTTTTCAGGAAATTGCCCTTCTTCGTGGCACAAAGAGATGGGATAACAAGAGTTGTTGCGGTTGTAGCTGTGTGAATCTGTCACATCTAGGTGAACACGTCGGCTTTCGCGACCAATATCATCCACAATAGAGGTTTTTTTTGGGTTAGATCACGTAAATATATAAATGTGTCGTTAAACCCGCCACTGCCAATTAGTAAGGTTTGTCACGTAAACAGAACGTGCCTATTAGTTACTAGTACAGCACACCGGTGTGTTGGAGAGCAAAGCCACAACATTGCATAGCCACATTGTGCGATCTAACCCAAAAAAACCTGTATTAGGGGTGTAGCGTCTAGTGGAGTGAGTCTGCGGTGGAGTAATTGTGTAATATCTATAAATATATCCGTAGAGAATGCGCCCCCTTTATATAAGCTCATTAATGGCTCCCGTGCCGGCCGCGAGTGAACATCCACACACTATGGATGAAAAGATTGACCGGCTCAAAGGGAATTATACATCTGACGGGGCCGTGCTCGCACGAGCGTGTGTCTCTCTCTGCCTCTCCCCGGGGGTTCATAATGGCCACGTCAAGAGACACTGAGCCAGAGTCACTGAGGTCTCGAATGGTGTTAAAAACGTTGGCGATGATGTTTGAGTTTGATGATGATGATGAATTTGTTAACGATGTTGACGACGAAAGTGGTGCTGTTATCGTTGACGGTGATAGTGATGTTGGTGATGCTGTAAATGTTGATGGTGATGCTGTTGGTGACGCTTGTAATATATATTCTTGGTTCTTTCGGTAAAGTCACGTGACTTTACCGAAAGAACCAAGAATATGAATCACTGCAGTCATGAAAGCTTTAAATCAAGACGCTTGTAATGTTGATGCGTTTGATGATGATTGTTGGTGATACCGTGAATGTTGATGGCGACGTTGGCGAAGCGGTCAGTGTTAATGTTGTGATGATGGCAGCGATGATGGTGATAATGGTTAAGGTGATAATGGCGATGCTGATGTGACTTGTTGATGATGATGATGTAGGAGAGAGGAGCCCCTCAGGCCTCCCACCTCGTCGCCGTCGTCTCCTCATCCTTGTGAACCCGTTCAGTGGGACGAAGAAAGCTCAGCTGAGGAGCCAGCGCATCCTGCACCCCATAATGGAGGAGGCCGACATTCAGCATCACACCATCATCACGGGTACTACATCATCAACAACACACCATCATCACGGGTACTACATCATCATCAACATCACACCATCATCACGGGTACCACATCATCATCAACATCACACCATCATCACGGGTACTACATCATCAACAACACACCATCATCACGGGTATTACATCATCAACAACACACCACCATCACGGGTACTACATCATCAACAACACACCATCATCACGGGTACTACATCATCAACAACACACCATCATCACGGGTACTACATCATCAACAACACACCATCATCACGGGTACTACATCATCAACAACACACCATCACGGGTACTACATCATCAACAACACACCATCATCACGGGAACCACATCATCAACATCACACCATCATCACGGGTACTACATCATCAACAACACACCATCATCACGGGTACCACATCATCAACAACACACCATCATCACGGGAACCACATCATCAACATCACACCATCATCACAGGAACCACATCATCAACATCACACCATCATCACGGGTACTACATCATTAACAACACACCATCATCACGGCTACTACACTATCAACATCACACCATCATCACGTGTACCACATCATCAACAACACACCATCATCACGGGTACTACACTATCAACATCACACCATCATCACGGGTACTACATCATTAACAACACACCATCATCACGGGTACTACCATCAACAACACACCATCATCACGGAACCACATCACACTATCATCACGGGTACTACACTATCAACATCACACCATCATCACGTGTACCACATCATCAACAACACACCATCATCACGGGTACCACATCATCAACATCACACCATCATCACGGGTACCATATCATCAACAACACACCATCATCACGGGTACTACATCATCAACATCACACCATCATCACGGGAACCACATCATCAACATCACACCATCATCACGGGAACCACATCATCAACATCACACCATCATCACAGGAACCACATCATCAACATCACACCATCATCACGGGTACTACATCATCAACAACACACCATCATCACGGGTACCACATCATCAACAACACACCATCATCACGGGTACTACCATCAACAACACACCATCATCACGGGTACTACATCATCAACATCACACCATCATCACGGGTACTACATCATCAACATCACACCATCATCACGGGTACTACATCATCAATATCACACCATCACCACGGGTACCACATCATCAACATCACACCATCATCACGGGTACTACATCATCAACAACACACCATCATCACGGGTACTACCATCAACAACACACCATCATCACGGGTACTACATCATCAACGACACACCATCATCACGGGTACTACATCATCAACAACACACCATCACGAGTACCATATCATCAACAACACACCATCATCACGGGTACTACATCATCAACAACACACCATCATCACGGGTACTACATCATCAACAACACACCATCACGGGTACTACATCATCAACAACACACCATCATCACGGGAACCACATCATCAACATCACACCATCATCACGGCTACTACATTTTTAACACACCATCATCACGGGTCCTACATCATCAACAACACACCATCATCACGGGTACCACATCATCAACAACACACCATCATCACGGGTACCACATCATCAACATCACACCATCATCACGGGTAGCACATCATCAACAACACACCATCATCACGAGTACTACATCATCAACATCACACCATCATCACGGGTACTACATCATCAACATCACACCATCATCACGGGTACTACATCATCAACAACACACCATCATCATAGGCACCACATCATCAACATCACACCGTCACCACACCATCACCACGGGCATCACATCATCAACATCACACCACACCATCATCACCGGTATCACATCATCAACATCACACCATCATCACCGATAACACATCATCAACATCACACCATCACCACACCATCATCACCGGTATCACATCATCAACATCACACCATCACCACACCATCATCACCGGTATCACATCATCAACATCACACCATCACCACACCATCATAACACCATCACCACACCATCACCGCGGGTACCGCATCATTAACATCACACCATCACTACACCATCACTACACCATCACCACAACATCACAACGGGTACCACAATAATAATCACTCCCAATCACCACACCATCACCACGGATACCACATCACCATTATCACATCATCACCATCTATATCATTACAACATCATCACACCATTACTATGAGAACACCAACAACAGTACCATCATATCTTCACCATCTCTATCATGAAGATCATCACACGAATATCATCACACCATCACCATGGGCACACCATGCATATCACCATTGCAACATCATTATCACCATCACACCATGACGATCAACACAGAATCATCATCGTTGCAACATCATCACCACAACCACGGGTACACCATCATCAACACCTTCGCAATATTATCATCATCATCACCACACCATGGGAGTTTCACGACATTTTTGTGGTAATACACCAACCCTCGCTACCTCCACGGTGCTGGATTGCAGGCCACTTGCGTAAACCACCACAGCCTGCAGTGCATTGTTGTTGGTGATGATGTCGTTGATGATGATGTTGATGATGTTGTCTGACAGAGAGGGCTGGGCATGCAAGCACCTTGGTTCAGCAGATAAACCTCTCCGAATGGGACGGGATCGTGATCGTGTCTGGGGACGGACTCCTGTTTGAGGTGAGTTGATCACGGGTACCACATCAACATCACACCATCACCACACCATCATCACGGGTACCACATCATCAACATCACATCATCACCCATCACCACACCATCATCACGGGTTCCGCATCATCAACATCACACCATCACATCATCACCCATCACCACACCATCATCACGGGTACCACATCATCAACATCACACCATCACCAATCACCACACCATCATCATGGATACCACATCATCAACATCACCACACCATCATCACGGGTACCGCATCATCAACATCACACCATCACCCATCACCACACCATCATCACGGGTATCACATCATCAACATCACACCATCACCCATCACCACACCATCATCACGGGTGCCACATCATCAACATCACATCATCACCCATCACCACACCATCATCACGGGTTCCGCATCATCAACATCACACCATCACCATCACACCATCACCCATCACCACACCATCATCACGGGTACCACATCATCAACATCACACCATCACCCATCACCACACCATCATCACGGGTACCACATCATCAACATTACACCATCACCCATCACCACACCATCATCACGGGTACCGCATCATCATGCGTAAGTGACGCTGTTTTGCAAGTCGCCTGGCCTGTCGCTCTGCACGAGGCTTCCGAGTCCTCTCGGCCACGCTTGTGTGTGTGTGTGTCATCTGCATTAGCCATGTGTGGGAGCAGTGGTGTAGCGGTTAGCACGCTGCGCTACGAACCTGGCAGCCCAAGTTCGATTCCCGCTTATGGTCAGGGTCAGTGGCAAATATATTTGCCTCCGCTAGGTCAACTCGGACTTAAAATGAGTACCTGGTGCGGTGTGTAATCATCAGCAATGGGGGGGAGACTAAGGCACGCTCGGTGTGGTGCTGGCCACCCACCCTCCCGCTAACAGGAATTGCCCAACAATCTTCCCCAACAATCTGTATGTGAGTCTCCGTGCCACCATGTGTATGTGTGTGTGTCTCTATCATTGTACAGTAAAACCTTGCATTGCGAGTAACTTGGCCTGCGAGGGTTTTGCAAGATGAGCAAAAAATTGTAAATAAATATTAATTTGATAAACGAGCGAGGGTCTTGCAATACGAGTAGTAGTACGTGTACACGCTTTGTACTGCCGAGCGTCACGTGATCACAACTGATACACGAGTGCTTTGGATTACAAACACGTTTCCGGAACGAATTACGCTCGCAATCCAAGGTTTTACTGTATATCTATGGGTCTCTCTGCGTGTCTCAGGTTATAAATGGCCTCATGTCTCGTCCGGACTGGAAAGACGCGATCCGGATTCCTCTGGGGATCTTCCCGTGCGGATCTGGGAATGCCATGGCTGGATCGATCAACCACTACACAGGGTACTCGCCCCAACACTCGCACCGAACCCAGACACGATCCCGGACTCTTAACGTCCAGCCCCAACACTAACACCCCAGACGCATTCAGCGAGACCCAACGCGAGCCCGGACGCCATTGCCCAGCCATCCTCGTGGGAACACCACGGCCACGTTGCCCTGATCGCTCGCTCTCTAACCCCTCCTCTCCTCCCCATCCCCTCACTCTTCCTTCTGAACCCTCTGTCTCCTCCTCTGCATCTCCTCTCTCTCGCCAATTCCCTCCTCCATGCTCTACCTTCCCTTTCAACCATCCATCTCAATTTTCCCACCCCTCCTATCTCCCCTCTTGCCCCTCTTCACTCTCCCCTACCCTCCTCCACTCCCCGTCCTCCCCTCCCCCTTCTCCCCTCCCCCTCCTCTTCCCCTTCTCTCCTCCTCTGCCTTCTCCTCCTCTCTCCCCGCCCCCCCGGCACCGTAGCCACGACATGGCGGTGGGCGACGTGCTGGCGCAGCACCTGGCGTTCCTGCTGTGCCGGGGCGGCGTGGCGCCGCTCGACCTGGTGTCGGTGCGCTTCGCCTCGGGCCGCCGCCTCTTCTCCTTCCTGTCGGTCGCGTGGGGCTTCGTGTCCGACGTCGACATCGAGAGCGAGCGCTTCCGCGCCATGGGATCCGCGCGCTTCACGCTGGGCGCCATCGTGCGCCTCCTCGCGCTGCGCAGCTACCCGGGCCGCCTCTCCTTCCTGCCAGCGGAGGCGGCCGTCGGCAAGAGCTCCGCCGCTCGCAGCTTTGCCGCGGCCGGCGGCGCCGCCGCCGCCGGGCTCCGCCGGCAGATGTCGGACCTGGGGCCGTGCGAGATCGGCGCGGGGAACGTGCGGGATGCGAGGCACAGCGCCGGCGAGGAGGCGGGGAGGAAGGGGGCGGCGGTAGCGGCAGCGCTGGACGGGGATTTGGACGAGAACCGCAACGGGCACGGCGGCGGCGGCGACGACGACGACGACGACGTGTTTGGCAGCGGCGATGCGCTGGAGCGCCTGGGCGGCAATCCGGACGAGACGAATCATCGCGGGACGAGTGACCGCGTGGCGGGGCGGGCGGGGACGGGAAGCGAGAACGATATTGGCAGCGGAGGAGGAGGGATCTCCACTGGAGCCAACAACCCGGGTTTGGACGGCGACGTGTTGGACGGCGCCAATCGCAGGACGGTGGAGCCCGGCGAGGCGACGAATCAACCCGGCCGGGACTCGCGCCCGGACAGAACCGCGAACCCCTTCGTCGACACGAACGGCGGCACGACGCTGCCCGGCGGCGTCGACGTGAACCCGCTCGGCCCCGAGGACGACCTCCTGCCGCCGCTGGACGAGCCGGTTCCGCCTTCGTGGGTGACTCAGGAGGCCGACTTCGTGCTGGTGCTCGGGCTCTACCAGTCGCACCTGGGCGCCGACCTGGCGACGGCGCCGGCGGCGCGCGCCGACGACGGCGTCATCCACCTGCGGGCGGTGCGCCGGGGCGCCCCCCGCGCCGCGCTCGTCCGCTTGCTGCTGGGCGCCGGCGGGGAGGCGGAGCCGGCGCTCGCCCCGTTCCTCACGGCGGAGCGCGTGCGGGCGTTCCGCCTGCAGCCGCTCGGCAAGGAGGGCGGCATCGTGACGGTGGACGGGGAGCGCTTGCCCTGCGAGGCGCTGCAGGCCCAGGTGCACCCGGGCATCGCCAACGTCATGGGCTTGTGCGGCGCGGGGCCGCCGCGTGGCGCCGTCTGACGGGCGAGCGGGGCCCTGGGCGAGGGCGAAGACTCCTCCCGGGGGTTCGTCGGCGTCATCGTCGCCAGCCGCGCTCAATCCGCCGCCGGATGAAGGCCCTGCCGAGCCGCCGCGGCCACCCGCTCCGGTCCTGCATTGGCAACGACTTGCGCACGAGATGATGTCATCGCCGCTCCACCTCCGCTGCGGACGGCCTCTCGGACACATTCCGTTCCTTGGCTGCCGCTGTTATTATTCCTTGACCATTGCGCGTTCTGGCCGTGGAATATCCTGCCCCGGGCCCACCATACTTAGCACGAGGGTCAGGGTCGTTATTAGGCGTTAGGGCTCGTGTTGGTGGATGTGTAGTGCGGAACTCGCACGGAGGCAAGGTAACGTAACACCCGCTCATTCTTGATTAACCTCCAGACGCGCCAGTTGTGGGCGCACACGACACTGCACACATAGCACCACGCATGGTACACATTAATCCTTACTAGCTACCACTACTCTCACCTTCACCGCCCACACCTGCTCACTTCCCCCAGCACGCCGGCTTTTATTCCCCCAGCTAGACTTCGCCTACCTTCCAGGAGCTGCTCGACAGCCAACCCGCAGCCCACACACAGACGCCTCTCCTCAGCTGCACGCGCGTCACTCAATTACCACACGTGCCTCTCATCAGCTGCGCATGCATTACTACACCACACACGTGCCTCTCATCATCTGCACGCGCATTACTACACTACATATGCATTGGGCCGAGTGTTAGTGGAATGGGTCATAGTGTTGTTAGGTTTGCCAGCAGGGTTACTGTTAGAATCGGGCTAGGGTTACGCTTAGGGCTACTTGCTCTGATGTGGCGTCACGTGACTCAAGCACGTGTGACAGCACCCACGCAGACCCTCTCTGAGCCCTCCCCTCCAGCACGGGACCAATTACCCCAATGCCTCCACTTACAGAATGGGGTGAGGTGCCAGGGGTTGGTTGTTATTCAGGGTTAGAGGCTAGGGTTAGGTGTTTGGTCGGTGTTAGGTTTAAATTTTACAATTATAATTAAGGCTGTGGCCATTGCTAGGGTCGGGGTTAATGTAAGGGTTAGGAATAGCGTTAATTTCAAGTTGTTTATGATGCGTTGCTGGTGGTGGTGATGATGATAATGATGACACTTATGCCTTAATGCAATCTTACCACGAAGATGCTACGATACACGGTACGTCGTTAAGAGAACCACGACAATTGTATTTATCCATTTAGGAAAAAATACTATCCTGTGGTGATCATCGCTGGCTCGTTCACTTTCGCCTAAATATTTAATTTCCTGACTAAATATTTCAATATTTAAGAAAGGACAAAACCTAAAGTTGATACAAAACAATAATTAGTAGGGCCGTCCTTAGAGAGGGTGTGGGGGGCGGGCAAATGACACCACGTGGGCCTCAAACTGAACCGGGAGTATCACGTCTGACACCCCCGCGATGTCGAAGTGTGCGAGGTGCCCCCCCCTCCCCAAATCGCGGGGCCCGGGGCAGTCGCCCCGATCCGCCATCCTAAGAAATTTGTACTTTCTAAAAACGTTTTATGGAATTCTTGGCGGAATTTTTGTTTTTAAATATATATATTGGTAGTGCCGGCTTGCTGCGTGGGTGCTGCTGCCTTCCCTCTCATCTGTGGTTATCCACAAATAGAGACGTTTTGGGTTACTTCGCGTTAAATATGTGTCGTGAAAACCGCAACGGCCATTTGGTAAGGTTTGTCACTTAAATCAAAACGTGTCATTTCCGTACGAGTTAAGCGCAACGATGTGTGGGAGAGCAAACCCACAGCTACAATTCGAGCACGACGTTTCACCGGTAATTGCAACCAGCATCATCAGGCGAACGTTGTAGTCGAATTGTACATTTTGTCGTGGGTTTACTGTTTAATATATCGGTGTGCTGAAACTAGTCAATGAAATTGGCACGTTTTGTTTTATGTGACAAACCTTACGAACTGGGCTGTGTGGTGTGGTGGCGGGTTTAACGACGCACAGTTATATTTCCGCGGTCTAACCCAAAAAAAACCTCATGGATAATATTGGTCGCGAAAAGCCCCACGACTACGTGTTCAACTCATCTGTGGTTCCTCCCCACGCCTCCGAGTCGTCCACTCTGCCTCCCCTCGAAAGTGGGCGAGTCCTGCGCAGCGCGTTAGAGAAGCTGAACATCACGGCGATTATACGACGTCCTCATCACCACAGTTGACATCACGACTGTTGGCGTAACTGACGGCATGCGCGTTGCAAGCGCGTTGCGAGCGCGATGGGAGCGGTTAATGATCATCGGGACTCGGGGCAGCGAGCTTGCGTCGGGCGAACTGCAGTTGGGGAACGCTTAAGCAATCTTTCTTCGCACTGACGCGCCAATGAGCGGCAGGAAAAAAATGCAATACAATTGTGAAATGCAGGGTCGCGGGAAACTGATGACGCGATGGGTCGCCACGTCGCAAACTCTGATATGAAATGGTAACGTGAAAAATGATATTGCGGGGAAGCAAAAAACTCGCGTGGAAAATCGCCGAAATTTCCTCCGTCGATTTAAAGTCTTGGCATCTCCAATGGTGGCCACTTCAGCCGATGGTGGACATTCCACATTCCTATGGCAGGGACCAGTCTATTCCATATAATGACCACTAGTGTTGACTTAAAACAAAGTAGGTGTTACTTAATTTACCCAACCTGGATATATGATGATGGCAATGACGATGATGGTGGGCTGAGTCAACCCAAGACCGGGATTTTAACTCGGGACCATTCCCGTTTCAGGGGCCTAACGATTCATATATTAGTTAATTCAAATTGATTATGACGCTCGCGATACATTAATTGAATCCTGTGTTATTAAGAGCCGATGTTATTTTGTTTTAACACGCGCTATTGAGACGATCGTTGGCGCCCTGATTAGCGCACCGCAATCTGAACCTGGCTCCCCCCAAGTTCACATCCTGGCCATGGCCAGCATCAGTTGTGAGTGATATCTAAACAGATCCTGTTCAGATTTCACCACCTTTATCCCCCTCCCACCTCCTTTACCAACCCACGCTGACCAGTACGGAGAAGTATAGGCAGCAACTCATTGGATTTCCGTTTGGGTAGATGGGCAGTGACGCCCTGGCGAATGCACTCTGTTGAATCGTGTTGTTAAGTCGCAGTAGAGTAGTTTTGTTATATTCATCTCCAAGGGTAATTTCACCTGATGGTCTGCTCAGACCTCAGTCGGTTGAATAAACGAGGAAAACATATCAGAGGTGAGTTGCCGCTGCCGAGATCCTGGCCTTGAGCCCTGGGACCTGGGGGTCTCTCTCAGGGGATTCATAATGGCCATGCCTTACACACTGAGTTGGCACTTCAGAGATCTGGTCTTGTGCCCTTGGCCTGGGTGCGTCTCTCTCTCTCTCAGGGGTTCATAATTGCCAATGACTCAGAGACCCATAGACTTACACAGAGACGCATAGACTCTTACAGAGATGCGTAGACTTGCACAGAGATCCAAAGACTCGCACAAAGACCTATAACCGACTGCCCTTCTCGATGTATCTGGACAGTGTCTTAAGATGCAGTCGCATTTAGATGCCGTCTAATCCAATAATCTATTGCATATCATCCTATGGGTCACTACGTCAGTCTGTGGGTCTCTGTTTCTGTACTACATCTTGGGACGCATTGAGACTCACAGGGACTTCGCATGTAATTAACAGCGGGACCCACTAATCTGGAACAAATGATGTTTCCGGAGATGACATTGCATTAAAATACGCGGAGATGACTAGAAGGCTCTTGAAGGTCAAATTACAAGAATCTCCAGCGCATTGCTAATGTAGCTTTAACTCGGGCTGAACGTATTCTTGGTTCTTTCGGTAAAGTCACGCCGAAGGGAAACAATAAAATAATAAAAATATAAAACAATTAAATTCTCACGACGTTTCGACTGCAACACAAGCAATCATCATCAGGTGTGAAAACCACAGCAAGAAAAATTGAAAAAAGTGGCGGGTTTTTTTAACGTTAGCACCACGGAGAGCGATTTGGCAGTTATTCAGATGGACGTACAATACCCTGGTGTCTACAAACTAAGTTGCCTCTGTGGTAGTAGTTACATTGGAGAAACCAAACGCCATGTCTCGGACCGTAAGCGTGAACAATCAATTCCCGAAATGATTTATCAAATCCTTCCAATGATTGCTAAGGCAGAATCCATCTTCTCGGTTGAAATTGTCTCTGTGTTTTTATATGTGGATAGCCTCATGAACGAATCTCTCATGGTAGCCAGATGGCTTGCAAAGAATCTCTGTCTTGGAGAAGTCAATGTCATGTGAGCCTACTGAATTATATTATTATTTTATTGTTTGCCTTCTACGTGGTGACTTTACCGAAAGAACTAAGAATATGAATCCCTGCAGTCACGAAAGCTTTAAATCAAAATGTAGGGCTGAACGATTTGGGGAAAATATCTACTTGCGATTTTTCTGACAGATATTGCGATTTGATTTGCGATTACATTTTTTAAAGTCAAGCTTCAGTTCAATATTCACTGTGTAATAGATTTAAAACACGTGATGGAGCATTACCACGTGATACCATCACAATATGAACTGCTCTATACATTCTAATGCAAGGATGAGAACTTAAAAGATATGAATTGCTTCCAACATGTATTCATTAAGATGTTTTAATTGAAATAGAACAATCAAACATAGAACAATTGTTCATTTAAATAAATAAAGTTATAATAATACAAAATAAAACAATTCCAATAAGAGAGTAATAGGACTTTTCAAATCGCAAAAACATCACAGCCTTTGCGATTTTGCAAAGCGCATTGTTTCAAATTGCGATTTTAAATCGATTAATCGTTCAGCCCTAGCTTTAACCCTGCGTCGAGTGTCCAGGGACGGAGCCCAGGCGGGAAGCTTGTACCTCTCTAGTCCTCCGCCCGTGGGCATGTCCCATGGCTCGAGGCTCCCTTTCCGTTCTATCCGATCGCCCCCCCCCCCCCCCAACTCGCCCTACAGCACCCCTACACTCGGGATGTCGAGCCAAAGAGAGATTGAGCACCGACGTAGATTCCCCCACCGCCACCACCACCACCTTTGCCTTCTCCGCAAGTCTTATTGAGGCGACCCCAGGTGCGGAACAAGAGTTGCAGCGGGTGACGAGTGGGTTATGCTCGCACTTTGTCTGTTCTCCGGTGGCGTCGTCTTGAGCGGCCGTGCACAGCTGATGATGATTTGAGCGTCGTTATTGAGCGCGTGTGGAGGGGGGGGGGGCGGGGTTCTTAGCCCCTGAGAAAAGGTCGCCCTTGATATGACTTAAGTTGGTGTGATGGACACAATGAATGGGCGAGTCCCTGAATGCAGTTGAATTTAAAAGCTGGGGGGGGGAATGCTTCTGCATACTGTCGGCACTAAAATGAAAACGAGAACGACTCATTTTTATTTTTTTCCCAACGTTCTGAACATGGCCTTTAAACCGAGTGCCTGAATGAAGAATGTTGACTGCACAATCAAATTGCTGAGTTTCACAAAAAAAAGTTGACGTTAAAAAAAATCAATTTATTTATACGCCGTCAAAATTGCGGCCGTGAACTCTCGTCTTTTGGCTGTGTTTAATTGACAAGAGCAGTCGGGTAACGGGCTCGTATGATGACGCTGTGTTTACTTCAACGCAGTCTGATGTGTTAGGATGTAGAGCTCATGTATTGCAATAGTTTTGCATAACGGAAAGCAATTAATTGATTGACGTGGTGTGAGCCATGCGAACGTAACACTAGTAAGGTGAGCGTGTCCTGCATTGCATGCGTCGAGGGTTCTTTATTGGACGATTGTGTTCTGTATTGAATGGGACGAGGGTTCTGGTGTTTAGTTATATAATTGTTATTTAAAGTTGAATTTGACAGTTGCTGGGAGACTTGCGTAAAGTCCACAATGATGTCAATAAAACTGATGTAATTTATCTCGAAGTCATTGACCGAGTTTTGATTTTGTTAAACGGCTAACTTAATCACTCCGCGAAGCATGAACAAAGCTCTTTTTTTATTTAGTTTTGATTTTGTTAAACGGTTAACTCTTTTTTTCTTTTTGGTTCTTTCGGTAAAGTCACGTAGAATGAGAATAAAATAATAAAATAAGACAATAAAATTCTCACGACGTTTCGGCCACAACACAAGTAGCCTTCTTCAGGTGAAGGAACTAAACTGTCAGGACGACAGAGCTTTAATGAACGCTGCTAAGATTCGTAGTGTATTTTAAGCTGGTTGAGAGAAGTGAGGCACCTTGACAAAGGGGTTTACATATCAAACAGGATAATTTATCATTGAAATAGCTGAGGGATTAGCTTGTGACTGATCACAGAAATAGCTATGTTAAAGTCAAAGCCTACACATCCACAGAGGCACCTAGTACAAATCAAACAGGAGAATTTAGCATTGAAATAGCTGAGGGATTAGCTTGTGACTGGTCAACAAAGTAGTTATATTAAAGTCAAAGCCTACACATCCACAGAGGCACCTCGTACAAGGACGCCAAAAGGGGGCTGCAACAACTCAAATATACAGTAAACCGATGTGAAAAAACCTGAGTCTAAATTACATCAATATAATAAATGTACTCAATATATTCTTCAATAAGCAGAGCTATTAACAGCAACTGGGTATACACTACACTATATAATGAATACCACATAGTAAACAGATAAAAAACTAAAATATAAACTACCTCAATGTTATCAATAAACTATATATTCTCCAATCAGCTGAGCTACCAACAATAAGTCGTTATATATCACGATGCTATATGGCGAAAAAATGGGTGGATTCTTACCCTCCACGTCAGCACCACGGACAGCTACGAGCCCCGTTCAGACGGACGAGTCCATCCATGGTCGGAACAGAGGAGGGAGGAGAGAAACAGCTGCGAGGCGCTGTTATAATCATGTTATAAACCATACCATTAACCGTGGTGTGAGAAGTATTGTGAGTCGATGCCAGCGAAAAAGCTGTGGTCTGAAGGTCACCATAAAATACAATTAAGAACCGAAATGGTTTAAAAAATCTTTCCAATGGTTACTAAGCCAGAATCCATCTTCCCGGTTGAAATTGTCTATGTGCTTGTATATGTGGATGGCCTCATGAACGAATCTCTCATGGTAGCCGGTTGGCTTGGCTTATTTTGTTTTGATTTTGTTAAACGGTTAACTTAATCACTCCACGAAGCACATACAAGCTCTTTTTTTACTTTGTTTTGATTTTGTTAAACGGTTAACTTAGTCACTCCACGAAGCACAAACACACTCTTTTTTTGATTTTGTTTTGATTTTGTTAAACGGTTAACTTAATCACTCTGAGATGCACAAACACGCTCTTTTTTTATTTTGTTTTGATTTTGTTAAACGGTTAACTTAATTACTCTGCGATGCACAAACACGCTCTTTTTTATTTTGTTTTGATTTTGTTAAACGGTTAACTTAATCACTCCGCGAAGCACAAAGCTCTTTTTTCTATTTTGTTTTGTTTTGATTTTGTTAAACGGTTAACTTAATGACTCCGCGACGCACAAACAAGCTCTTTTTTATTTTGTTTTTATTTTGTTAAACGGTAAACTTAATCACTCCACGAAGCACATACAAGCTCTTTTTTATTGTTTTGATTTTGTTAAACGGTTAATTTAGTCACTCCGCGAAGCACAAACACACTCTTTTTTATTGTTTTGATTTTGTTAAATGGTTAACTTAATCACTCCGCGAAGCACAAACACACTCTTTTTTATTTTGTTTTGTTAAACGGTTAACTTAATCACTCCGCGAAGCACAAAGCTCTTTTTTTATTTTGTTTTGATTTTGTTAAACGGTAAACTTAATCACTCCGCGAAGCACAAACAAGATCTTTTTTTATTTTGTTTTGATTTTGTTAAACGGTTAACTTAGTCACTCCGCGAAGCACAAAGCTCTTTTTTTATTTTGTTTTGATTTTGTTAAACGGTAAACTTAATCACTCCGCGTGGACGTGGCTCTTTCACTCCAGCGCTGTCCTACCAGACAGTCTCGTCCCTTCACCTGATGAAGGCCGCTTGTGTTGTGGCCGAAACGTCGTGAGAATAGTATTGTGTTATTTTATTTTATCAATTTATTATTTTATTCTCATTCTACGTGACTTTACCGAAAGAACCAAAGAAGATTTTTTTATTTTGTTTTTATTTTGTTAAACGGTTAACTTAATCACTCCGCGAAGCACAAACAATCTCTTTTTATTTTGTTTTTATTTTGTTAAATGGTTAACTTAATCACTCCGCGAAGCACAGCTCTTTTTTTATTTTGTTTTGATTTTGTTAAACGGTTAACTCAACCACTCCGCGAAGAACAAACAAGCTCTTTCTCCATACTGAAGTTTTTCTGGGTTGGACCGCGTAAATATAAATGTTGTCGTTAAACCCACCACCTCCCGGCACAGCCAATTAGTAAACATAAACAAAACGTGCCAATTCGTTACTGGTGTAATGACGACTTCTCTAGAGGTTTGCGCTATATAGAAGACACGTTCACTTGACATCAGGCGGAGATCTCACTGCAACAGCCCCGAGTCTCCAGCGCATCTCCCTTATATACCAACACGAGGCCACGCCCCCCTTCTCGATCATTCTCGCTGAGTCTGGACGCTCGCTCTACCGGCAGACTCCACCGTCCTCTTCCGTCGCCTGACCACACTCCCTTCTCGAACATTCACGTAGCCACCGGTCCCCTCACACTCACAGCTGATAGCCCTGTCACTGCCTCCCGTGGCCACCAGTCCCTTCACACTCACAGCTGATAGCCCTGTCACTACCTCCCGTGGCCACCAGTCCCTTCACACTCACAGCTGATAGCCCTGTCACTACCTCCCGTGGCCACCAGTCCCTTCACACTCACAGCTGATAACCCTGTCATTACCTCCCGTGGTCACCAGTCCATTCACTCACACCGATACCCCTGTC